TAATCCTTGCAACGATTTTCTCAATATTTATAAAATTCGGTACGCGATGTAGACAGAAATAACGAACATTCTTAAACTCTAACGACGAATGTCTTCAATATAATATATTAATAACAAATATATATCAGTAATGGATATAATGTATTGAAACAATGGAGAATTATTTTCGAATATTTTTTAACTATGGTACCTTTGCGTAGTTAAATTCATATTTGAATATTTATCGTCGAATGATAGTATTTTCATGATAAAAACACTTGGTAAAATATAAAAATAAAAGGGCTAAGCCGGTGCACGTGTGCCGTATTGTATTTCTTTCCCCCCTTTTTTTTCCACAGTATTTAGTGGCCGCGTGCAAGGCGGTCGAGTCGAGTCAGTGTTTGTTTACATCGAAGTTTTTTCTGTTTATGCGGAGCGAACTGGCGCCGATTAAGATCTCACCGGAGATGTATTATGGTCTTCGCGGAACTAGAGTCAGTGTTTGTTGCGTACAATCTCAAATTATTTTCAGAGTTTCGGGACATTCTTTGCTTTGTGTGTCGCGAAAGTAGAATCATTTGTTCGCCGGTTGAGATTTTCGGTTGCGATAGTTTTTTATTTTCATTTTTTTTCTACTTGAAAGTACTCGTTTGCGAAAGTAGAGTCAGTGCATCACTGAAGTGGATTTTTGGGCGAACCTCTACAAATAGAGATTGTAAGTATCCTTATATTTTATTACTTACACTGTTCAACTGAAAGAGCTAGAGTTTTGAGAAGAGGTTATTACGTGTTCTGTTCCGTTGTTTCAGATTTATCAGATGCTGCATAAACAAACACTGCAGAGGATGTCTTTGGGCGAAGCTGCACCATTTTTCAAGATTCGTCGAGAGAGAATATTAAAGGGAGCTCTTCAGTCATCGGGTGAGTGAATGTTTTTATTCCTCCAGTCCCCAATCATGTCGTAGGATAATTGGTCCGAAACGGCACGGGCGACTAGTTGTATACGTGCTTTTGGCGAGTACAGTGAAAACGGATATGCAATCGTACGATTGCATATCCGCGAGTAATATATGATCTGTTATGTTTCTTAGTTAGGTTAAGGTCTTCTTGTACGCCGCGTTTATTATTAGTAACATAATTCATAACTATTTTGTATTCAAACAGTATGAGTTGAATATTTAATGTTCGGCTTAAAGGCGAACATAATACAGATGAAATCACATTGGTTATGATGTACTTTCTTTAAGTGTTCAATTTAACATGAGATATTAATCTTGGATATTTCAATAGAGATCATTCTATGTTTAAATAGTTGTTATTTTTTTATTAATTGAGTATATATTGAGAACGTGGTAGTATGTTATTTATTTCACTAGAAATGATTTTCACTGATGATGATATGTGCAATAATTTCAGTATAGTCATTTTAATACAGTCGTTTGCTATCATTTATGAATGTAGAACGAAATACGATCTACGTAAGGAAAATTGCAGAACATAGAAAATACAATATATTCACAATAGTCTATAAATAACGGTCAGCTGATTAAAAGAATAATAATCAACTTGTTAACGTGTGAAATAAATATCAACCAGATCCAACGAAAACCACACCGGTATGTTTATGATAGAGAGGAAAACGTGGTGGTGCCTTCCTGGATAGGCATGTGTAGCAGTTAGCGCAATACCACGAGACGCGACAGCACGTTTCAAT